ATTGAATGCGATTCCTCATTTGATATATATAATATTTGATTGTGTTCATCTAAATATAAACCATTTGGATTATTTAGTTGATATGGATTAAGACCTGCACCGTTACCACCCTAAAACAATAATTAAAATCATCGTTTCAAGTTTCTTCCTTCATTTATAGATAATTAGAAGCTTCTTTTATGAAGTATTAATTTAATCTTATTTAGTAGAAATAAAATCAATAACTTACAGCAATAATTGTGCCAACATTTTTTTCAGGATCATATGGAAATGTCCATTGCATGATCCGCTGATTTAGGCTGTCAGCAACAATTATATTCTTCTTTGAATCGACTAAGACTCTTGTCGGAAAATGAAATTCATTTAATTCTGTACCTAAACTTTCATTTCCGGCTACTGTTGTTCCGTTTTTGGCATCTTTCTGCCAATATTGAATTCTTTGATTGTACCAATCAGAAATGAAGACATTTTCATTCTCATCTGCAAGAACATCTACAGGACAATTTAATTTATCCGATGTTGACCCAGCTCGACCGTGTGGATCACCAGCGGCAGTAATAATTTCACCATTCGGATATCTTTTTTGAACGCGATGGTTTCCAACGTCAGCAATATATAAAATTTTTGTTTTTGACTCAATAAATATACCGTTAGGATAATTTAATTGATTGGGACCTGTACCATAACCACCAATGATTGTTGTTGCTGTTCTGTTCCATTTAAGTTTACCTGGACCTATAATTTCAATAAAAATTTTGATTTAAAAAATACAACGATACGCTGATGAGATAAATTTACTGATACTTACAATCGTTTGATTGTTTATAAATATGCTGACCTAAAACAAAAAAAAACAAATCGAAAAAGAAAACTGATTTAATTTCGTGTACTCACCATTTATCACGATTATCCTAAAAACGATAAAGTAAATATATTAAATACTGTATAATCAGGAACGAGATTCTCGAAGTTCAGACTTCAGTTAGACTTTTCATTGATACTCACGCGAATACGCATAATAAATGCTGCAATATCATTTTGTTCATGTAAAGAAATAAAGTCTCAATTTCTTACATCTTGATAATTATATTAATATGTCTTTATCAATGCATCGTTATCTACCTTTAGCATACATATAGATTAGACAAGATAAGAGAACATAATAATGAATAAAGATCACGTCACATTCTCACAACATCAGTAGAAGTTTTAAGTGAAAACTAGATGAATATAAGACGTATCTTTATCACAACAAACAGAACTATTTTCAAGAAAAATAAGTCTGATATTAAAGATGACAAGTAGATACTGAAAATAATAATTAACATTTTATGTCAATACACTTTTTATTCTTAAAATGAATATATTAAAAACAAATGGCAATTATTTTAAAATACAACAGTCTTAAAAATATTTTTACCGTACTCTTTGAAATTTTTGTATGCGACTATTAAATATATCTGAAACATATAGATTAAGTTGAGAGTGTGGGTATGGGTGTGAATATAACTTTTTCCCAACAGCCATAGCCACACTCACACCCAACAGGAACTGTGAAATAATCTCGAAAACTACAGTATAGTTTACATTTTGCTCTGTAGCATTTATTTGTCTGGCATACTTACACAAGCACGAACATAATGCTATTTTAGAAAAACTCTAAAGAGAGGTGGGTATTCTTTGTCTAAGCTTGAGGAAAATCAGCGGCAATCAGAAATGAAAAGCAACTGCTATCCTAGAGAAAATGTTCAACGAATAACGAGTGTCGAAGTTATCTCATTCGAAAAAAGTGAACGTTATTGCTTTTACTAATACAAATTTCATCTAAAACAGGACACAGCAATGTTCTACTCATTTCGATGGAGATTTGTTTGATGAGATATTCTCTTTGAAAAATGTTCAATGTGTACGCTAATTGAATTAACTTGTGTTTTCTTCCGACAACCAAGCAATAGTGGGATCTACTGATTGGCAAATGGTGACTTCCTTTATCGTCTTATCGTGTTGCTTCTTTTTTTCTAAGTTTCTAATAGCATCTTCGATTCTCTTTAGAAAAAGTTTATCGTCAGTTAGTTGTGCAAGTTTTTCTGATTCGATATTTTCTTCTTTTTGAATTGAACGTCGTCGAACAAGTGGAACAACAGTTAAATTAAACAAGAGAAACAATAAATCAAAAAGTTCGAGACATAACTCTAAGAAAAAATCAAGAACATACCGAACATCATTTTATTTCATTCCTTACTTGAGAACAAAATAGTATTGAAAGTGACTTCGTATGTTCGAGCAATTGGCTGCTGTGTATTCTTCATATAAAATTTCGATTCGATTAAGTTAACTAGGAGAGTCATTTGAATATTCTTATAGCGATAATCTTGATCGTATTCGGAATAGAGATGTTTAGTTAATATCGGAATTCAAAGTGCGCTAAATGATGGATTTTCATTTATTTTGAAAGGAGTAGTTCGATTGACCGCTTTTGTCAATTCAATATTTACACTTGAATCTACAGCTATTGTTTCATTTGGAGTAAATAGTAACTGGCGGAAGTCAAGTTGTTTAACTATGTATTTTCCATGATCATGAACATTTGATGGACCCGGAAGACATATTCGAATTCCTCCGATAAAAAAAGGTCCTGTTAAATTAAATTGTAAACTGATTTGATGTTGTGGCAAAACAGTCGAGATAGAAAGAATGAAGAATCTCTCACTCAATGTACAGTGGAAATTTTTCGACTCTCACCAGTTTTCTCAATCAATTTTCAACTGCATTGCCACAACAGCACATGGAAAACCCCTACTAATAAAATGAACAGTTAAATTCACTTGCTGCTGATTGAGCAGAGCAAACATCATCTTTTCATCTTCTTCCTTTACTATTGAGAGTAATTGTAGAGAACTTGAAAATTTAGCGTTAACTAATTTCGAATGGCAAATGAGATCCATTCTCGAATGACTAAGTCGATTTTCAATTGGATAAAGACCAATAAATGAAAAGCTGAATAGGCCATTAAACACAATTAGAACCAAAATAGCCAATGAAACAAGTCCACCTAGCCACAATTGACCTTCCTTTATAAGATCAAGATCTGTAAATAAGTTCTTCACCAATCTTTGATGAGATTTCCATTTTGGAAAATATGTCAAGATGTTTACAAGAACACAAACAATAAATCCAAGACATAGGGCGAGTGAAGCACATAATAGTGATGGACGAACAAGACAAGAAGAAGATAATGTCATCAAATTAAATATATATTATCCAAGAGAATATCGTCAAATTCTGTGGAGTGAGACAATTCACGATAGGAATAAATCTGATCAAAGCTTTTCAGTGCTTCCATTTGACAATTTAGTGGTATTACGAGAGATCGAATGCAAAATTGACCAGTTGTTGAACATTGTGTACATTCAATTAGTGATCCGTTGTTTTTTGTATTGCGTGGACAAATGAAACACGGACCAAAACTGCTCGCATTTCGAGATGTACCCGAAATGCATGGAGCACTTATGCACTGATTGGAACGAGCATTCCAGACACTATATTGTCCAGGTAGACTCACAGGAATCACAAGGCCGATCATACTTTCGGAATCATAGTTTAGACGCGTTTTATCGAATATCAGACCAATACCTCCAGATTTCCAGGAAACAAGCTCATAAATACGATAGAGACCACCAGATTTCACCGGTAGTTTCTGTTGGTTGTTAGGAAAGTCAATTATCGATCGAAAACTGTTACTTGTATTCTCAACATCTAGGGTGTAAACCTAAATAAATCGACTTATCAAATGAAAGTTTTAAATAAAGATTCAAAATTATTCTGAAGAAAATATCTCGACAAGCTGTTCCAGAGGAAGTTTAGTTTTACTAAGGTAGCTTCTTCGAATACATCAGATCTCCATATTTTTATCCTTAACGATGATTACATCTAATCATATAAAGAATCTCAATGGATTCGTGCAAAAAGAGATTGAAAGTCTTCATATGATCATTTTCATGATTAAAAATAAACAATATGCAGCATTGAAAATTTCGGTTTACTAACTTGTATTTGAGACAAAGACCATGGTAGAGTTGGAAGATTGGGAGCGAGTACAGCATATGCATGATTATTCTCAATGAAAGCAACAGATTTACCAAGGTCAACGCCAGTTTTTGCAAAATAATGCTCTCGAACAATAAACAGAGTTCGAAGTGAGCAGATTGACAATAATAAAACTAAATCCATACATGGAATGCCGACAATAGCCAATTGTAGTTCTTCGAAGACGGATAGAGACATACCTTTTGATGAACATTTCTGATTTGTAACGGTAAATTTCGTTAGGGTGTGGGTGTGGGGTGTGAGTCTGTAGACAATTATTCACACGCCCACACCCATACCCACACCCAACTAAAAATAAATAAAAAACCTTGTCAGTACAGCCCTTTCGAGACTGAAATGTGAAACTCACATACTTCGTGTAGCTAGAACAAAGTCTGATGTAACCAATTGCTAGGAGAAATATATCCATTAACCTGTGAAACATTCCTTCCATCGGTTGCTTGGGAAAGATTCATACTCAATCACCTTTCACTTCTTCCTTGTTGCTAAGGAGCTATACAAAAGGACTCTCGTGTCTGGTGATGGTTGTCATGGAAACGTGCCTATTGTTCTATAAAAACTTCCTATTGCTAGGCAAAACGCGCTTTCTATCCTATGAACCTCTCGCTCAGAGAGGCGATAGGGGAGCCGGAAAACTTCACCTTAAAACTTACACTCTCTATTTTACTTCGTAAAATATGTAAGTTCCAGAAAAAATGGTTTATGAAAAAAGAGATTACGCCCATAGACCTAAAACAGGTTTGTCTAATGGTAATGGATGGATAGAGATGATTTATTCTCCACTTTTTTTGTTTTTACAGTGTAAGACACACGCGACACATTTTATCTCATTGTCAGTGTGCTAAGGCGTTCGTTATCAGTATTCAGATATTATTCAAAAGAGTATCACAACAATGGAAGAAGTATCATTAGAAAATGTTATTAGACGATGTGGTGATTTCAATAGGTTTCAATTAATTCATTATATCTTTTTAAGTCTTCTCACCATCGGTAGTGGTATTGCTGGGTTTTATTATGTATTTGGTCTTGCTGAACCTGATTTTCATTGTCGAATTTCTTCCAATATATGGCCTGACAATGATAAATTTCATTTTTACAATACTAATTCTAGTCTTTTACTTGATCAATTCCAAAATTCAACATCGAAATGTAAAGATATTAATGGTAGCACATGCAATGAATTTGTCTATGATCGAAGTATATTTGGACGAACATTTACAGAAGAAGCTGGCTATGTATGTGATAATGCAATAAAAAAAACATGGCTTTCAACAGCTTATCAAATTGGAACGTGAGAAAGAATATTCTTTTATTTATGTTGCTAAATAAAATCTTAATATTATTTAAATAGATTTGCAATCTTAGTTACTGGATCAGTTGCAGATAAAATTGGACGACGAAAAATGATTCAAATTTTAACTATTGAACAGTTTGCTATTACTGGTCTTACTCAAACTCTTCTTCAATTTATCCAGATGAGTATCAATGCAAAGTAAGTGTAAAATGATCAAAATAAAGAAATTGATTTCGTTTAAGATTTATTCTTTTATTTATCAATCAAGCTATATCAGCTGTCGATAGTTATTGTATAGCTTTTCTCCTTATAATGGAATTGACATCATCTACATATACAAGTTATGCTTGTGGTCTTACATTAATTGTATATACGGTCGGAGAAATTTTACTGGCAATCTTTGCATATGTTTCACGTGATTGGCTTTTACTTAAATGGATAATTAGTATCTATTTTGCTATTTCACTTCCTTATCTTTATTTTGTTCCAGAATCACCTTATTGGTTATTAAGTCGAAAAAAATATAATGAACTTGAAATTTGTTTAAGAAAAATGGCGAAAACGAATGGATATTCAGAAGATAAATGGTTGCCTTTCTACAATCAATTAATTGATGATACTCGTTTAATAGAGACAACTACAAACGAAGGAAAATCAACAAAACGAAAATTTTTACGACATTTACCACGATTAGCTATTTGTAGTTTTATTGAATTTGTTACTATGTTATTATACACGAAAATTTCGTATGGACTAGCTGCAGCCAATGGAACTTTGAGTCCTTATTGGGATTTTGTCATTGGAGCTGTTGTTGAAGCTATTGGATATTTAATTGCTGCTATTCTAATTACGACTTTTTTAGGAAGAAAATATTCGTTAATTAGTTTTGCTACTCTTACATCAATTTGTGTACTTACAATTCCATTTATTATGGAACAATATCCTCTTGCTACTATTATCGTTTCACAATTGGGTAAATTATCAGTTAGTAGTACTATATCTGTTTCATGGATTTATGTTCCTGAACTTTTTCCAACAGCAATGCGAGGTTTAGCCAATGCTGTTTTTGTTTTTCTTGGTAGTTTCGGATCAATTTTAGCACCAATTGTTGATGAAGCACTTGGTGATAAATATGTTCGAATTTCATTTTATGTTTATTCAGGATTAATTATTATACTAGTTCTTATTATTTGTACTCTTCCAGAAACACAAAATCGTTCATTTGATGATGGAGAAGGCCATAATGACGTAACTCAAACTGAAGAAGAAGCCAATATTCAAATATAGATAAACACGATAGAAAGAGAAATCAATCATGTAATTAAACACGTCATGCTTGATTTTTTATTTATCTGTAATGAATAGAAACATAGAAGAACTTTAGATGTAATCTATTTTGTGCTATTAGTGTTGATTTAATGCTTTTCAAATAAAGGATAATGTCGTTAAAAAGTAAAATTGGGTCCCTGTCGGAATTCAATTTAACCTTTCGTATTTCATCATTTTGATTGTGAAAAGTCTATTTAATACAATCTATATTGCATGTGAGTCGATTTAGTTACTCCCCGTTGTTTATATCATATACTGTTAAAAACACTGGGGTAGAGGATGTTTCAATGAGAGACCTACAGGAGAAACTTTTTCATGTTCAGAATTCCGTTTATCCCATTCTGAAAAATTTTCGGGACAATTCCGATTCTCCCGCGGGATGAAACAAGCGGGATTTTTCTGAATTCGGTACTGTTCGGCAGGACTCTAGTTTAAATAATAACAGTTCGACTCATTCATTCTAATGTTTAGTTGAATTACATATCAATCGTGAGATCTGATCAAGATGTATCAAAGAATACTTAAATTTCAATAGAGAATGCTTATCAGTGCAGCTCCTTTGGAGCTAATATGTGGAATTCACATATTCATGTAAGTTATGAGCTATTGTACTGTAAATCCTTTTTTAAATGTTATTACTCTAGTTTTATAGATATATGCTTCCAGATAAATTTTAGGTGAAGTAGAGCGATAGCAAACCACAGTAACCATGATTATGTCGCACCTGCCTGTAATAGGGAGTGGCAGCGTACTAAAAACTTTGACTTAAAACTTGCACTCATGATTTTCTTCAAGCATATATGTGAGTTCCGCCAAAGAACATCAGTTAAGAGTCAAAACATCCATTAAAACAAACTACAGGAAAAATGGTTTTTGAAAGTTACGTCAGTTTGGTTAATCCTTTGTCTCATCAGTCAATCATTGAGTTCTGATTATTCAGTACAAAAATTCATCGAAATGTTACGTCGGTGTAATAAACCTTTCGATACGGCTCTGGCAGAAATGAAATATGAACCACAATGAAATGGCTTCATAGTAAACGAGAGGTACATCGAGTTCCTCATAATTGACGCCAAGATTACAATTTTAACCGGATTACTTGATTTGCACATACCATAGAATTTAAAAGCAAAATTGCGACATTCTGAAAATAATTCTAGGTCAAATGTGCGATTTTCTTAAGAGAAAAAGAATGAGTCAAAAAGGAATCTTGAACAATACGAAATAGAACTTCTTATAAAAACATGTGAAAGAGAGAAACTATACAGAGTGTGACTACTGGTATACTTTTTGAAAATATTTCAAAACGAATTAGATTGATAAATGATTATGATAATTTCAGTTTGGAGGATTCTCTAATAGGATATGATTTTGGTTTCATTCTTGATGGATACAGTTTGGCAATTCTGAGATTGTGCAATTTGTTAAGCAAGCAAACTATGATCAAGAACAATTAAGGCAAACAGAATCAGACTAAAATTGTTTTTGTCAGACTTTCACTTGTTATCCAAAGAAGAATCCAATCATTATCACCAAAGCATCCACATTCATTTTTTACTATCAAGATGAACAACTACATTTCGCACACAGGTGACTTTGTAACGATCCATGAATTGGAGACGAAAAGCGATCGTTGTTGACGATCAATGATGAACACATCGACGAAAACGAGACTTTATGCACAATAAGTCGATATCAAAGATGGAGACATGATCTCAAACGTTTCCATCGATCGACTCGATGACAAGACGTAGAAAAAGCGAAAGACAAGAACTCACATTGAAGGTTTCTCCTTACATCGAAAACATGTCCTACGTCACAGATCAAACTTCGATCATTGTTCAACATCGAGTTTGTGCATGACAAAGGTTGATTGTAACGACAAGACAAGAGCTTGAATGTTCACAATATCAAAGTAGTACCTTCACTGACCTAAGCGATATGAATAAGATGCTTAACATGATTTAAACATATGTAAATGTGATGATACGATCTCATATGTCATCCTTTAACTGAAGACTATTATCAAGACAGTTTTTGGGATTCTTTTTCATAAGGCTCGTCGAGCTTCGAATAACTAACGCAGAAATTAGTTAAACTATTTCGTTTCAAATAACAAATCGGAGCAAGTTAAAGTAGAAAACAACAATACTTTAAGAATTAAAAAGCCTGATAACCACATTTCGTAAAACAGGCGAAAATGGCAAGTTGAACATATTGAACTGATTTTTTGTACTGAGTATCAAAAAAAACCATAGGACATGCTTTCAATAATGGAAAGATATAGTTTTGTAGAGAATTGAAAACAGAATTGTTTGATAAAAAATTGGTTTCGAAATGGTGAGAACTGGATGAGATATTGTAAAAATATTGAAACCACCATTTATCCTGTGCTACCCATTTCATCAATGCGTCATGGCAAAGATAGTAAGTGAGAAAGGGTCTAGTATACCTTTGACACAAGTTTCTAAACATGTGGAGCCAATAGGTAGAGAATACAGAATAAGTTTTGATTCACAAAATCGATTCTCAATAGTAAATAGAACAGCGCACAAAATTTATGCCAACACTTTGTATACAGTATAGATTCGCCATGCATGCACTGATATTGCACCACGACTTTCTAATCGAATGATTTTCCTCATGTCCAATATCGAGGTCATACTTCCAAATGATACAACATATGTTAACGTTTCTTTATTAAAACAAGTTCAATTTATCTCTAGAATACGCGAACTGACAGATTTAAATAGTTCATACAGGTTTGTAAAACACATCGGTTCTTATTAAATATTTTACTCCGCGTGTCACAGAACGTCCTCGATGTTTCTTTGCATCAGGATGGCCATCGTGCCAAAATAACACTGCATTGCCTTTCATAGGCTTAATGGAGACGCCATTGTCAAAATCTAACTCTCCACCTTTGAAGTCGTCATTCAACCAAATGACAAGTGATGCAAAGGACCGCTCACCATTGTCTCGCGCACAGGCTGCATCGATATGATATTGAAATTCTTCGCCTTTGCTCGTTTCGAAAAATCTCCAGCGGCGATTCAGACCTGACGATTCCCATATGCCAACATCATTCACCACCACTGGTGGTTTCCAATAGGAAATAAGCCTTGTATATAGACGGTCGGCTTCAAGACGTGGGACTTGCCATATGCATCGTTTATTTGTTCTTATGGATGTTGATGCAGGCCATATAAGAGGAGTACTAGTGGACATAGAGTGATTCAGCACGTATTGTCCAATGGGAGTTATCTCATGTGATGCATCGTAGCCAATATCCAATGATGCTTTTTTCCAATTCTCACATTCATACTCTGTGAAGAATTCGTTAAAAACCCATATACCATCAGAAGAAAGTGTGCACCGAACCATGGAAGGTTCACTTCGTTTGGTATTCCAGTCCGTAGGTAAAGGATGTTCGGATGAAAACTCTAAAGGAAGTGTCGACGGTTGTTCACCCCATGTAAAGTTTATTTCATTCTGTGATATCGACTCCATTTTGCAGCTAGTTATATTGTAATGAATAGTTTATCTATAGAAATGGGATAAACGATATCACTACCATATAGAGCAGAAGATGAAAGGTTCAATTGCTACGTAAGAGGATCTTTATATGTTGCTAAACTCATTTTGCGACACTGTTATCACAACTGTTTAAGAAAGTTTGTTTACTCTCACAATAGGCATAACAGAGAGAGCAATTCGTGTGAGCAAGAAATCTTACGAAGGAAGACCTCAAGTAATCAAAAGCTATTGAACTCATGTTTTTCCCATTGGGTGTGAGACCACTAGATTAGAAGAACTGACAAAGGACTCGTCTTCTTTATTAAGTTTTGACTAAAACATCGAATTTTTAGTCAATTTTTCCTATAATACCCCAGTTTTCCAGTTAAATAAAATTTTTGAATTTTGATCAAAAACTTTTCCCAAACGAAGGTCTCAATTACAGTAATTTTTATAAGGACTCTCAAAACTCTTGAACATTATCTCTTTGAGATATTAGTATTTCAAAATACAGTGCTTTTCTAAAGATCACATATAGAACATGGATATTTTGAAATATTAATATCTCAGAGAGATAATGTTCAAGAGTTTTGAGATTCTTTATATTCAGTACTTTAATGATGTTTTACCAAATGATTTATCAACATCTGTTTGTTCCATCATAAAACTATTCTACAAACGAAGTAAGAAGAAGAAAGTAATGATATTGATACTACTCACATTGTCTTTTAGTACATCGAATAAACAAGTTAATTTAAAAATATACATACAATGAGATCTAAATATGCAACAAGAATAAATGAAGTGTGTATAAAAAATAAAATTGAAAATCTAAAAAGAAAAAGAGAAATTTCAGTGCAAAATTCATTAAAACTAAAAGAAAATTTCTTTTTAACTCTATCTAACACTACAATAAATCAGAAGAAGGTGAGCAACTTTCAATTAATGGCATAACAAAAAAGCAAAGTGCTTTTTTTTACTGTACAAAGTACCATCAAGGTAAGATGTTTTTTTTCAGTAAAGTGCAAAATCAAGTACTTTTTCAAAACCGTCAGCACCTTTGATACTTTGCTTGTGCTTGATGTATTTAGTATTGGAAACACTGGATCCAAATGTCAAAAGAAATAAGACGCATCTCGTGTCTAACTCGTGTCTACACTAGAGTATACACGAATGCACCGTCCTGTAAGACACATGGCAATTTTTAGGGTGTATAAGAAAAAACACCTGAGAAACTGGGTAATAATAAATGGCCGAAAATGAAGCCGAAAACCGAAAGGACCGAAAAACATGTGATTGGCTATCATCCATCTGAATCATATTTATAGATGATTCAAACGAATGATAACCAATCGCATGTTTTTCGGTCCTTTCGGTTTTCGGTTTCATTTTCGGCCATTTATTATTACCCGAGAAACTATTAAGCTGATACTTTCTCACCC